TACTCAAGTTTCTTAAGCTTGAAGAATTATTTTCCCTTCCATTTTTACTCATGAAACGTGGCTAATTAAGAAAGCACTTAGTCATCCCCAACCTAGTTAAGTTTGTAGCAAGTGTAAAGCTCTAAATAAGCCACACCATACCAACGTCATCACTACTATCGGCCATCTCACATATATATGTGTTTGGGCGGAAAAATTTTGCATCCTTTCTCCTTTATATTTCCAGCAACAATATCAGACTTATAGCAGCAAGAAGTGATAGTAAAGTTCCCCAAAATTTTCATTAAAATCACACATCACTCCATTCCCTTCTCGGCCATGCATAAAAGTGAGATTAAACCAAAAATTTTTCCCCTTTTTCATGAGACACGTTCAGCAAATATATATCCCCCTTCAGCAGCCTTTAAAAGTTAAACAATTTTCCTAAGTTTTCCAACAAAAACACACGGCAAAGGAAGCTTTAGCGCACGGCCACGCAAAGGACCAAGGATCACGCCATATTTTTCCGATTTCAGTCGAACGATCGAGGAGGTAATGTTCTTTTCAGCTGTTGTTCATGTTAGTAAGGTTGATTTAAGGCTAAGGGTTCGAGTAAATTTCAAAATTTGATAGAGAGATCATATTATGTTCGGTTCATGATGTATGTACGATGATACCTCCTTACGTTCATTTCAGTTCGACATGTTCCGAGCATTTATCGTTCATTTAGCCTTTATTCAGTTCATCATGTTCAGTCAAGCACGTTTTGTCGAGTGAAGTTGGAGTTTTGTCGATAAATTGGTCAAAGCCGTCGCTAGCGCCTATCGCGCGTAGCCACGGGCGGCCGCGGTCCATGTCTTAGCAAGTTTAGTATAAATCATGTTCAGCCGTGTGTTCATGTATTAAATTGCTTCAAATTAATACTCAAGTCAGGTTGTTCTAAAGTTGCCGAGTAAAAAGGAGTCGTGGCCGAGTGACGGCGTATAGCCGTCGGCGGCGCACGGCGCGCCGCCACGGCTTTTCATGTTCAGCGTGCAACGGTTGTATTTTCAGGTCGTTATATTCATGTTAAGTCAGGTTGTGTTCAGTGATGTTAAGTTAGTCGAGACATTTGTTCAGTTTGGTCGAGGACTTGGCCGAAGGCCGTAGGCCTCGCACGTAGCGAGCACGCCACGGCCGGGTGTTAGGTTCAGTAAGCAAGTTCAGCAAATTCCTTGTTAATTCAGTGTATGTTTCATGTTAGGTCAGAAAAGGTTAAGTAAGGTCAGTTCGGTCGGAGAAGTTTGCCGGACAGCCGGCAAGGGCCGGCCATGGTCGCGCTGCCGCACACAGCGGCAGCAGCGCATCGGCCAGCGCGTCAGCGTACCGTAAC